AGAGGTGCTTTGTTTAAAGGGAACTGAGGGTTGTGATCTCTTTTTATGGACACAGGAGACTCTATGCCTTAAACTGTGGCATGAGAGGCAAAAATCAACAAGGGATAGTTTTCCCTTCTTTGCACCTATTTCCATGCTGGGAAAATCTGCCTTTACCTGCTTATTTATTCCTGCTTGCAGCTAAAGGTACAGAGTATAATAGCATAAGAAAAGCCTACTGGCTCAGGCCAATGGTCAATCGAGTCCAGCATCCTCTTCTCAATGTGGTCCACCAAACACCTATGGGAAACTCCCACGAAGGACCCAAGGACTTTCTCCTGAGGTCTGCAACTGGTGTTCAGAAGCATTACTGCCTCTGACTGTGGAAACAGAGCATAGGCATCTTGGCTAGTAGCTCTTAATAGGCTTATCCTCCATGAATTTGCCTAAGCCTCTTTTAAAGCCATCTTAATTGGTGGCCATCAGTGCCTCCTGGGGTAGTGAGTTCCATAGTTTAACTATGTGCTGCATGAAAAAGTACTTTCTCTTATCTGTCCTGAATTTTTCTGAATCTTCCAGCATTCAGCCTCATTGGATGTGCATGAGTTCCAGTGTGATGAGAGAGGGAGAAAAACTTTTCTCTATTTAATTTTCCCATGCCATGCATCATTTTATGAACGTCTATCATGTTACGTCTTATTCGACTTTTCTCAGAAATTAAAAGTCCCCAGGGCAGGAAACAAGATGCCAAACCATGTCAGTATTCAAATATGGGCCAAAATGTTCTTAATGTTCTTAACTGGAACAACTGTGTATCATCTGAACAATTTCAGACCTATATACAGTACTTTTCCCTGGGGACTTCTCAGAGCAATCACTTTGTAACTTACAGAGCAATTTGAATTTTCTGCTGCTTCTGAGGCTCTGCAGAGCAACAGAGCTAGTGTCCCATGCACAGCCTGGCCACTCAGTGGTGAAAAGGGTGGGAGGGAAGACAGCTTGGACCCAATCCCTGTGTCAGCTCCAGGCCGGGGTTGGTTCCTGCATTAGCCAGCACCAGTTGTGGCAGCAACTTAGTTCTAGCAGATCTCAGGGCAACCCAGGCTCACCCTTGGACCATGCTATTTTGGGGCTTCTTCTTTGCAGGAATACTGCTAGTGCAATTTCCACCTGCCTTCCTGTTTGAAGACTGAAAGGAATGGGAGATTTGCACCAGTGGAAATGGAGCTGAGCTGGCAGAAGTGAGCAGAAGGATGCCTCTGCTCAATCCAAGCACCCCACAGTCAGTGTAAGGGAGTTTGGATTGCAGCTTTAATCTCTCATGGTACTGAAGGATCTGTACTATTGGTTTGTTTTTTCCTTGTGAGGCTTTTAAAAAGCTGTTAGTGATATTAAACAAAACTGAAAGCCAGCAATATTTGTGCCATAAATAGAACAAGCAGGGGCTCGCTCCAAAGGGGAAAAAATGATGATATTTTACTTTTAAATGCTAGTGGAGTGAAAGACCAGTGGGAACACGACATAGGGTATGAAATAAACCCAACCCAATGGTCGAAACTGTGCACTAACCCACCCGTTAAACCCTTCTCAGGCAAGAGGAGGGAATTCACTTTGAAACTTATCTACAGATAGTACCTAACACCACTGGGAGAGGAACGGGGGGCTGGGGGGAGCGCACTGCCCCCAGCACCATCGGGGAGGGGGGTACCATCACAGCTGCTCCCCGGACACGCACCGTGCACCCCCCACCGTGCCGGGCGCCACGCCCCCGCAGGCCAGCACACCACACCCCCATGGGCAGCATGCTACGCCCCCAGGAGTGCCATGCCACACCCTCACCTGGTCTCCACCCCTCGTGCTGTAGCATGCCGCTTCGCCACTGCCTAACACCACATAAGCTGGCAGTGATGCACCCAGGAACTTCACCTAGGTTCTGGAGAGCCTGCACCACCATGAGAACACACCTCCACACGTGGTGGGAATGCCCTAAAATTCAATCCTTTTGGGTATCAGTCTTACAAGAAATCTGCAAAACAACAAAACAGGTAACTCTAGAATAGGCCATACTAAATATTCCCCAAGGCAATAATGCACACTTACATGACAGAGAACTCATAAGTCACATGCTCTCAGCTAGGAGTGTCATAACCAGACACTGGAGGGAACTATCAGGAGTGTCCATGGACCACTGGTACCAAATTGTATGGAAAACCACCCTACTAGAAAAGCTAACTAACAAACAAACAAACTATCACAAGGACAAACAAAGGAAGGTGCCTTCACCCCGGCGTGGCTCCCTTTTATTACATACACAGGCCAACAAGACAGTGACTGATCCTCCGCAACATCATATGAATCAATATGGCTAAATTAACCCAGCAACGCCTCCACCTCACACACATCAACAAAACACACTGCAACCAATCCACTGCAACCAACCACGCCCTGGCTCCTGTGATCTCTTACTCTGCCAACAAAAATAAGACACCTATCCACGTGATGCTGACAAAAAAGTGCCACTCATATACTATGTAAAGAATGAAAGCTTAATGTCTCCCTCACCTACCTCGCTCTTTCCCCTCCACCTCTTTCCCCTTTCACAAAAAGTGTTTCAAATTGACTGTAATTTACTTGTATGAAGGATTCTTCAATTTGAAAAAAGACACTGAATGTACTTTGGAAATAATGATAATCATCATCATCATCATCATCATCATCATCATCATCATCATCTAGTGGAGTGGATCTATATTCACTATCCAGTGCTTGGGGCTGCTAATGTGAAGGTGGCACTTGTTTAACATAATGGGAAGAAAACTAAGGCTACAGTACTATGCTCAACTTGTGCATATCTTTCAATAAATGCTTTCATGGATGAATTTTTAATTGTATTTTAACTGCAATTTGTCACATGTGTATAAAAAATCCTGTACAGTGAGACTACACACCTAAGTACACTTAGTATGCAAAATATCATATTGACCTCAGATTTACTTCCAAGTAAGCAAGTACTAGATTGGATTACACTAGATTTCACAATCCGGTGCTCTACAGATGTTTTGGTAACAATTTACAGAAGCCTCCGTAGTGATTTGGGGTGGAAATTTTTAGAGTGCTGAATTTTCCTGTGGAATTTTTCCCATTTCATACATTCATTAGTAACAATGGACAGACACAAACTGCAAATACAACATTAGGCAAGTTTGGCAGTTTCCACGTTTTTAACCTTGTCTGCTAAATACAAGTAACTTAAACATGCTGGATTAGATCACTTCCTGTGGTTTCTGATATCAGATTTTTTCTGATGCAAACTGAGAATTTTTCCGTGCAAAAGTTCCCTTTACATAATAGCCTAATTTGCACCAATTTATTTTTTTTCTGGAAAGCCCACGTAACTGGGCCCCAGCTGACAGGGCCAATAGTCAGGGTGAAGGGAGTTGGGAGTCCAAAAACATCTGAAGGGAATGCTGCATTAAACAACTGCAACATATATGCAACTCAGCTTCCAGCCCTGCCTCTTGTTATTATCATCACATAAGATGGTGACTTCATACGCAAGTATTAGCAGCTAATTATGTAGCTAGTAATATAGAGTACTATGGCTATGCAGACCTATGCCATTCAACAAGTCATCGTCTCTTTTTACTAAACAAATGTAAATTTGCCCTTGTTTTGTTAAACTAGGTTAAATGTACTACTCTAGAGTTCCTGGAATGCATTGCAATTTCTAGCAATAAGAGGAGGAAGAATGAGAAATGGATTTGATCCAGCTCTGATTAATGCAAGGGCAAATATTTGCCATGACTTATTGCAGGAGTATGGGGTGGAACTGGATTAGGTAATTCAGTTTGAGATAGAGACAAAGCTAAGACTATAACATTAATATCCCAACTGTAAACATACATTATGGGAAGTATAAAGTCCCACTAATTTCAGTGGAACATCCAAACAAGATTTTTTTCGGAATGAATCTCAGTGGGGCTTGCACATGCAAAGTTTACATGTCACCGAATAATAACATTTTTGCAGCGGTGTCTTGCCCCATGCCTGACCATGTATGACACCAGGTGTGGGATGGGTGGTTGTGGCTTGGGGAGCACAGCCCCTCCCGACCGAAATAGGACTCCTGCCAATTAGGCCCATGGAGTCACTTATGAACCTTCAAAACCTTCGAACAAGGAAGTGCAGATTCCTGATTCAACCTACCAAGTGGATCTGCCGGTGCTGTAGAGCCAGGATTCCTGGTGCGAGAGGTAGCCTCATTTGTCACCAGGTAATTAAAAGTCCCAAACTCCCAACGAAGTGGCCTTGGAAGAGGTAAGCGTTGGCTTTGGTCAGGTGTTTGTTTACCTAAAAGCTATGGGGAAAGACCCAGGAAAACTTGGCAGTGCTCTGGATGCAACGTGATTGGCCTCAGGGGAAAGCTCTCCCAGAGCTAGGGAACGATTCCAAAACCCGCCTTCTGCCACGGATATCGATTTCAAAAAGAAACGCAAGCTCGTCTCCCTCCAAACTTTGGCTGGCAGCGGAAGGGGAGCAAACGGCGCTTCCTGCTCTCCCCCGCTGCTCTGTTGTACTTCTGCCCATACCTGGCATAGCGGGGGGCGGAGCCCGGGGCCGGGGAGGCGGGGCTGGCCAATGGGAGGAGCGCGAGCCGGGCGCTCCGGGCCGGTGCGCTGAGGCGAGGCTGCAGGTTGCGGAGACCGAGCGAAGCGTCGCATTTCTTCTGCCAGGAGCTCAGCTGGGAGAGGTATGTGCGCGCGCGCGCGCCGTGCCAGCCGAGGCTCCTAGTGCGTCCGCCGAGAGGGAAGGCAGGCGCCAGCGAGCGAGCCAGCAACTTGCTGCAACCCTCGCGGGGGGCCGCGGCCGTGGGGGGCGCTTTACGAAACCCGGAGCCAGAAGAGCGAAGCGGAATGCTGCTCGACGACACCGAGGGGCCAGCTCGCCCACTGGAGGGGAGCGGGTGACCTTGCGCCGCGGGAGGCAGGAGCAGTTCTGCCAGCGCCCAGAGAAGGCGGAAAGAAGCCGCACAGCCGCCGCCGCCGCCGGAGGGGCTGGACTCGGGAAAGAGGATTTGCTCGGCTGTTTCTGTCCCGGCTTAAGCGAGCGGAGACTCGGCCAGGTAAGGGAGTGTGCGCGCCATGGACTCTCGGGTCGCTCTTTCTCCCTGCCTCCCACACGGACACCGTTTCCGTGTTGTCCCGTGCGATTTACCCGCCTTCTGCCTTTACTTTTGGAGCCCCAGGACCCCCCTTCTCTCCAGTCCCGCTGCCGCTTCACACAATTATACCCCGCTCCGTCCGCTTCCCTCGCGGGAGCCGCAACAGATGCCTCTTTTTCTCCCGCCGGGAACGTCTCTCGCTGTCCCTTGATTTCCTTGGACCTCTGTATTGTGGGCCCCCTCCTGCGCTGGGCAGCGCCTTCCACAAGTTGGGAAACACCCGCTGGGCGAATCACCCGGCACTTTTATTTCCCCCTGCTGGTCCCCTACTGGGGGAGGGTGGGGCCACTTCGCGATCTGCCTCCCGTTTCCATTCCTTGGGGAAAATCCACTCGCTCGCAGCCTTCGGCGGAGCGGCTTAGCCTGTTCAACCTGCTCGCGTCTCTGCTTCGGCCCCCGAGAGTCGCACATATTTGAGGACCGAGTCTCCGGCTCCGCCGTTTGCCTATTGGCTCCTGGGCTTTTCAGAAGATGCTCAGCCTGCCGTAAAATCAGATTATATGGCCTTGCGGGCTTAATTCTTCTGGCGGCGCGGCGGGATGGGCTTCCCTCTCCCTATGTGAAGTTAGTTGATTTTTTTTCTACCCCCCCCCCCAAACCGTGAGAAGATCTCATTGCGATGTTGAAATTGAAGCACGCATTGGCCATTGAAGCTTGAACCGCAAGCACCCACCAAATGCACCGCAATGTATTGTGATTTACAGTCAGCTGAGGCTCAGCTATGCATACGTGTTCCTTGTTGCGCTTGATTTATAAGCATGTGGCCTCTTCCTTGAACTCTGCTATTTGACCCACCCTACCCCTAAGGCTCAGAGCATGTATCAACAGCTATAAAAAAAGAAACCAGTCTGTGAATGCATGTGAGCTGTACCAGAAACCTCTTATCAGTAAACGTGCATAACAGTAGGCTAGAAGACTGCAATCCTCTGTACTTATTTGGAAGTACAGTGCTTAAGACTTCGGTGCAATATTTTCTCCTCCTCCTTTCTTCTGAAAACGTAATTGTTTCCCCCCAACACAGTTCTCTATCTGCTGAAGAACATCTTGTATTAGAAACATTTTACTGTACCAAGCAACTACCAAAGTGATTGGTAGGAGGCGAGGATGAGTAGGCACAGGTGGCACCAACAGTGCAGCAGACTTCGTTTTAATTGCACTTGTTGTGTTTACACTCAGCCTGGCAACAGGTTTTCTGCTTTTCCGAGCGGCTCCATCTAAAGTTAAGGAGATGAAACAAACAGCCTTTTCATTATGTAACTTTATACACTTCCCTGCATTAATAAATCCCTTTGCAACCAATGCTGAACTGCCAGTTGCTTTGCATTTGCTTTGACTTTCAGACATAATAAACTGTGAGTAGAAGGAATGCATCTTGTAGAGCTTGGCTACCGATGTAATATTTGTGACTTTTCAACAGAGACCAATTTGCATGTGCTTCCCTTTTCCTGATGCAGACATGCAGCAGCTTCACTAGTCAGTCCATAGAGTAGAATAAGCACCTTTAGAAGTGATAGCTATAAGCAGATTCTCTGGATAAGGTAAACATGTGTGAATCAGCCATAAACTGCTATGCCTGTTATGTAAATCTGGCTGCTCCCCTTGGGCTTGTCCTGTGCTCAACCCCTTTCCCCAAGTGACTTCCTGTATTAGGTGGCATTGTTAGATCATGTGACCCTGGGTTGGAACCCTCTGGGGGTTTGTGCAGAGTTTTGTTACTGACTTGGGTTGTGACCTTAGACGGATTACTCTTCTGTTGACAAAAGCAAGGTAGCATACATCAAAAGGATTCATTTGATTTACTCATGCACCTTATTGGGTTCTAATTATAATCACCCAGAAGAAAGAGGCTTGGCTGTTGCTATGAAAGGTTTGGTCAGTGAAAGCCTCAGTGCAACATGCAGTAGACATTTTAATTTAAAAAAAGCATGAAGGAAAGAATTAAAACGATGCAAACACTATCCTGACCTTATGGAGATGAGAGATGAGTGAGTTCCAGGTGGGTAATGGACTGGAATGTATTCCAGAGCTCACCATATGTTGAGTTCTATGTGCACTGTTCAAACTCAAATGAGTACAGGATTCCTTGAGATATGGAAATCATAGGTATAGAGTTGTGGCGCCAGCTGCATCAGGGGCGAAACTAGGCTTTATTTCACCCAGGTCAAAGACCCAGTTTGGCACCCCATGCGCACACAGGCTGGAAGCCTCAATGGTGCCTCCCTGGAGGCTTCAGCTGGGGCAGAAAACCCCAGCTACATCTCCCAGCTATGGCTCTGGGCTGCATCACTGTCTAATGCAGTGTTTCCCAACTGGTGTTCCGCGGCACACTAGTGTGCCGCGAGACGTTGCCTGGTGTGCCGCGAGATGTTGCCTGGAGGGAGGCGGGCGAGTCGGGCGGCGAGGGGCGGCGGCGGCGAGGAGAGGCCGCCCAGCGCGGGGCTCTCGCCGTCTGCCTGCCTGGCTGCCTGCGTGGCGCTGACGTCACGGGGCTGTAACGTGCCCCACATAGGCACACGCGGGGCGGCGAGCGAGCTCCCTCCCACATCCCATCGCCGCTCGCTTCGGCCGGCCTACTGGGCTGTCGCAGGCGGAAGGCCTGCGCATGCGCGAGGTTTTCGCGCCTTCGGGATTCCCTTCACGCCTTCCTCCTCCCGGGTCCTTGAGAGCGCGGGAAGCGGCAGCGCGAGACCGGCGTTGAGCCTGGTAGGTATTGCGCTTGCCAAGGCAGTCATTTGGGAAATGAAAACTTGCAAAGCAAGCAACCAGTTCAATCTGAAGTACGTGTATGCTTAATATCCTGTATCTGAAACCTGTTCTGCCCCCTCCCCCACACTTGGTGCCATTTTCATCTACACACGCAGCAGAGTAAGTTGACCCAGAATAGTACCAATTCAGATGGCAGATGGGAGAATGACAGTGCTGAATGCTTTCCCATGTAGAACAGTCCCTGCAAATAAAAACCTAGCATATTTGGAAGAGGGATGCTAGCCTAACCATTACCTTCTATGCTGTTACTATTTTTTTATTTTTTTTTACATAAGTAAAAAGTGACCTTTCCCCATCTGGCATGGTGGTGTGCCTCAAGATTTTTTTCATGAAACAAGTGTGCCTTTGCCCAAAAAAGGTTGGGAAACACTGGTCTAATGTACTGCAAAGGCTATAGCAAAACGTTCTCTCCAACTCCAGCTATCCAACAACACTATTCAAGGATAGACAGTTGAAGTAAAAAGCCTAGAAGGCAAGATGGGGCATATGCAGTACTGTAAGGTTAAAACTGGATAAACCATGGCTCCAACTTTCATATTTTCTAATGTATAAGTGGAATCTAATGAAAAGGAATACTTTAAATAATTTGTTGTATACATTGTTTGTAGATTACTCAAAGCTGTAAGAAATTGCTGAATGAAAAGGCATTAAAATATATTCTGATTTGATAGTACAAACACTTAAACAGGGAATGCCTTACATTTTTTGTCCTCCTTGTCTAAAGGAATAGTACAGTGGTACCTTGGTTTGTAACCGTTTTGGATTACAATCGTTTTGGATGACAACCATGTCAAACTCAGAAGTGTGTGTCCCTTTTTTTGGATTACAATTTTTTATTTTTTTAATTACAACCCATTTTTTTGGAGGCCCCATTGGCAAAAGCACGCCTTGGGTTACAGCCTGTTTTGGTTTACAACCGGACTTCCAGAACGGATTATGGTTGTAAACCAAGGTACCACTGTAATTCTATTTTTTATTACAACAGTATGATAGCTATAATAGATATGGAGTTTATCTGTAACAGGTTATACCAAAATGCTACACTGTAACCATGTGGCCTTTTTCATATGCTTCAGTCATGCTCAAGTTACAGGAAATTTTATTTCTAGACCAAGCCACAGCATGTATCAAAATGCTTTTATAAAAGAAGTTTTGAAAAATACATTGAATTTTGCAATACTCACTGTCACCATCTAGTGTCACATTTGTATATTGCACTTTATAACAGATTTAAAACGTTTTATTTGCAGCTGTGTAGCTGAGTCCTTAGTGTTACTACCCCTCTAAATGAGATTGGATTAGTGCTTGAGAAGAATTCTGATGGGAATTCACAATAGGGAGCAACATGCGTTGGTGAAGTCTTTTCAGTGACCACTGTGGGATGGATGTATTTACCTTGGCATGTTTAATGGAAGTCCTTATGGAATTAGACAGTCATCTGTTGTATCTGATAGACTGCCAGTAGGTCCAAGTCTATTTACTAATGGCAAAAAGCTACTCCAAGTTCACATAGATTTGCTTAATGCTAATGATATGTATCTCTGAAGTGTTGTGGGATTTAAGTGCCATCACAGCACAGTCCTAACCATGTCTACTCAGAAGCAAGCCCTATTGAATGCAGGGGATTTAATCTCTGGTAAATAGGGTTAGGATTACTGAGCCTTGCCTTCTGATTGCCCCCCCCCCCCGTGTGATGTTCAAAGTATCTGTTAGATATTCATGTTAAATGTGGTTTACTCAGAAGTAACTGAGGAAAGTAATTATAGGATTACCGTTGAAACTACCACTTGACATGTGTCGCTAGAAAAATTAAGTTCTTTTAGAATGCTGTTAAAACTATTTGGCAATGTGGCATAGGTTTCATCATGTATATGTGCCTTCTTGACATTTGTAGGGTTTAAGTGCAGTTGAGCATTTAAGATGAGTGGTGCTCTGTGGGACTAGGCATGCTTAACATGCAAAGTATGTCTCATAATGAAAGTCCATAACAAAGCTATTACAGGACAGAGGTGAGAAAGCTTCTTTATTTACCATCTGCATACAAGGCAGAGTTGAGAATGCATCCTCAGTTAGCATGCACATACTGTTCATATTGAACCATTTGCTCAGAATTGTATTGACTTAACAATACCATT